AATAGTACTAGGATTGACTTTTTAGTGTAAAAATGTGGTTTTTCGTTAAAGTGAACAGTACCAGGAACTTTTCGTTAAAGTTCCTTTTTTTTTCCGTATTATACTCGTTGTAAGGTTCTAAAAGTCGCTAGGCGCTAGTCGGGTGGCGGGCTGGGGCCTAGGCGGGAGCTTAGGCGGACTAGGCGGATTTAAGTAAATCTATCATATTTCAGGTAAATAAGTGTCTGCTTCTATTTGAAATATATATAATTTCATCATAAACTACAAAATAGAATGCATATATATCATGAAGTATTGGAACATAATGAAAACATGTGAAATAAGGATATAATGTTTGTTCATTCAAGTATGCAACACGTCTCTTACAATTTATTGGAAAAAACACAAAATGCAAAATGAAAGTTATGTATTTTCTGTCTAAGTGAGTTGCAACCTAGGCGGGTCTAGGCGGGCTAGGCGGGTGCCTAGGTGGTCTAGGCATTAATCGGGGCGGTGAGCTGGGGCCTAGCGCCTAGGCGGCGTTAGGCGGGGATTTTTAGAACAGTGTATGTTAGATAATTCACAATAATATGAAATAAAGAACTAATTCAAGTGGTGAGGTAAGATAAATTAATAAGAATCAAGTTGACTATGCTAGTGTGATCCGAAGAAATGAAATAAATTCCATACAATCATTTGTTTTTAAGATAATTTTCCCCCTTTTTTTAATTTTAGTCGATTACTTATTGGACATTTATAATTGGCCAGTTTCTAGTAATGAATTTTTTTAGATGAGTAAGTATTTTCCTTATCTGAATTTGGGTCTTAAATTGAAAGAGGTGAACCAAGACGGTCATGTGAATCAAGTCACAAGAAAGACTAATGAAATGTCATCACAACTCCAACATGTTGCTGAAAAAGTAAGGCCATGGACAAGATTCATATATAGTTGTCTACATTAGGGATAACATTCAAACAAAAGTGTACGGAATGAACTAGCGGAAGAGAAGAAGTAAAAAATCAAGACGGATAAAAATTTCCGTAAGTATAACGCCAAGAGGGAAATTGGCCGATTATGAGTTCGTTTGGATGTACTTTCAAAATGATTGAAAGCGTTTTTGATGAAAATGTTTTTGAAACTAATCATTAATAAAAATGTAAGCAAATCCTGGAAAAGCACTTAAAGTGCTTCTTGGAAGAAGCACGTAATCGGTGATTCTTGTAGAAAGCACTTCAAATGCTTTTGGAACCTAAAAACATTTTCTCTAAAAGCGCTTTTAGTAATTTTGAAAGCACATCCAAACGAGTCCTATAAAAATTCAAGAGAAAAAATTGGCTAAAACTAAAGTTCTTGAGAGAAATTGGCAGTTCGCGTAAGTTCGGGTAAAAATCGACAAATAACTCAATAAGAAAATATGACACCAATTGGTATCCAAAATTTATTTTAGTAAGTTGGTCTATCTAGCAAACCATCCAATATAGTATCAACAAGATTCTTGAAATTTTCTTTCAAATCTCATCAATTAAAAAAAAAAATCTTAAATTATATGGCAATACTAACAAGAATTTTGCATAATCAAATATGTTTCCTATTAAATAAAAAATCATAAATGGTATCAAATTAATCTTTTTTCTAAAAGGCAAAAAACATCTAATTTGTGACGCCATAAATCACTCCTAAAAGGGGCCGGGAGTAAATCCAGGAGGAGAAGAGAGATAAGAATGATTACCTCAAAGCGATTTTCTTGTGATCAAGTACTAAGAGGTAGGTTGTCTTGTCCAAGTACGCCACGAAGAAAGTTAGGACGATATCAACGGCGAAGAATGCATCGACAGCCAAATCTACGGGCAGGAGTGATCCAGTTGCCACCTTTTTGAAGGCCAGTTCGAACGGCGACGCCCATGCTGAGTATATCACCAGCACCACCAAAAACGCCTGCCACCACCTTCATGGATACGAAAACGTGTTGTCAGACTGTGAATCAGAACGGATATTTATACTCATTGTTAATTACGATAGTATGTAACGTATGTCATACTATATGATAAGAGAAAAGATCTCAGCGAGAACATTATGTTTGACCTATATCTCCTGTCATAAGGAGCAATAACAAATTTCTTGAGCTGCAAGTGGGCTTCATCGACAATGGTTCCAAAAGCCGGTAAGATGCTGCTTGACACAGAGGCCAAATTCCTAATCTCCCCGCCCGAACGCCTCCGGAACAGCAAAGGCAGCGGCGATGCAGTTGCCGACCACGACGACATTTTCAAGTGAGAAGAGAGACGATAGGAGGCTATTGCCTCTTGTTATATGTAGATTGTAGTTCTAATTGTTTGTGCAAGTGTGAGGGCTGAGTAAATCTTATACTAATCAATTTTTTGTCACAAATATATAAGATTGTTGTAAATAGTGGGATTGTATGCCCACATGTGAATAGTAATGAATAAGACATAATTTGTTGTGTTATTATGTCACGAGAAGTTGTTTTCATTCATTGTAAACCTTCTATAAATAGATCACCACATAGGTGATCAAGACACTATAAGAGAAAAACAACTAATAATAATAATATTCCTTATTTTCTCTGCAGTCATTTTGTGTTGGTATAATATTTTACAATTGCTTCGTTCCCGTCCCTAGCAAATGTTATCTCTCTAACTTTTGCCTATTTATAACAAAGATAATATTTTTTTCTACCTGATTTGGGGAATTATTTGTATCACATCAGGTTGCCTAGAGCCAAATATTTCCAAAAGAAGCATAAATTAAAATCTTTCTAAGCATCTTTTATCTTATTTTGTTAATTAGCATCGCCTTTATAACTTCCCTTATCCGATAGTGTACATTGTATGGAGTATGTGGTCCGCTACTAATTAATTGGTATTTTCTCAAGTAGTCTCAAGTGCATAAAGTTTCGAACCAGGGATGCATGGGTGAAAATTCAACATACTATCCACTATAATATTGGACCACACGTCAAGCCGCATTTTAATTGATTCAATCTAAATTAGGAGAGGAGTTATGAACTTGGGGTGCAGAATAAGAAGCATATTGTTTTAGCTAATTCGGGTACACTCCAATCAGCACAAGTAATTAAGATAATGAACTAGAATTACAACTCTTGTTTGTACCATACTTGACCAATCCCAAAATTACTAAGCACCGGTCAACATTATATCGCCAAGGACCCACAAGAGTCTCCCTCAAATCATGAGGCCAATCACAACGCGACACATGTCAACATCAGAAGCTAATCATAACGCGACACGTGTCGACATCAGAGCGTAATCACAGCACGACACGTGTCAATGTCAAAATGAAACTAGAAAATCTCTTCTATAAATAGAGATTATCTCTCACAATATTTCCTAATGTCATTTGTACTAAATCATTCACTAGTACTCACTAAAGCTTGAACCTATGTACTTGTGTAAACCCTTCACAATTAATGAGAACTCCTCTACTCCGTGGACGTAGCCAATCTGGGTGAACCACGTACATCTTGTGTTTGCTTTCATGTCTCTATCCATTTGCATACTTATCCACACTAGTGACCGGAGCAATCTAGCGAATGTCACAAACCTAACACTTTCTGTTGTACCAAAGTTCTCACTGATTTTGTGTATCAACAACTCTCAATATACAAAACGTGTATAATATGAAGAGGCTCCTCAAACCAATATGTTGATCGTTGATAATGAACTTGAATAATTCTACTTAAAAGGAATTTGACCTCGAATTCATCTTAAAATTGTATGGCACTAGGAATCACGAAGCTAGATAAAGCACATATAATCTCTAACCTGAGGAGCCAAAACTTCTTCAAACCTGGATGGTATAACCATGTAGTCGATGCATAAATGAGATTTGAATATGCTTGCTAGTTCATGCTCGTGTTTGATCATGGCTTACCTCCTACAACCATATTGACCACAAGAGTTGAGTTTTATCAAGGGGTGTGCTATCCACACACCCCAAATTACTTCTCACACACCCCTTCTTAATTTTTGTCCATTGATCTTCTTTAATTCATCCGATCCGACGTAAAAAATTAAAAGGATGTGTGAGAAGTAAAATGGGGTGTGTGGATATCACACCCCCTTATCAATACCTTGTTTGTCATGAATTCTAACTTGATTGTCTTCTTCTATTATGGTTGGAGTAGGATTCTCTCCCTTTTTTTTTTCCTCTCCTCCTATTTGAACGGTCACGGTTAAGCCACGTCAATATCTTATATTAACTTTTTATAGAAAGAGAAAGACAAAATAGAGAATGTAAGAAGAGAGGATGGAAGAGTATAGAAAGAGAAGGGGAGAAAATCCTAGTCCATTATGGTTTCCTCTTTGATCATGACATCAATTTGAATTGGTCGATTCAACTTCAGTTTCTTCAATTTCTTACCCATCTTTTCTTGGCGTATGAGATCATTAAATAATTTTTCCACCACTACTTTTTTTTATTAAATAACATTTTCCATTCTTAAAAGATACAAATTATATTCAAACGGAAACCATACTTTACAATAATTCTCTTATTTTACGTCAAAATCAGATATGATTCTTTCCTTTTTTTTCATTTATGATTTTTGCTTATTGTCCCACCAAAAAGCCATACTTCCTATTAAACGAAAAACAACTATCTTGACCATCTTCTCCTTTGAAATAGCTATTTGTTTGAAGCATTGATCCACAACTAAAACTCCATCAAGACAATCTTCTATGCATTCACTACCCTCAAAACGATGAATCTTCCCAACATCAAGTTGACGAGTTTGTCTTGAGGGAAATCCTACAATGCATTCTGCATTTACAAAAGATTGTGCGCAACCACCATAGAAGATCTTTGATGTACCACAAATAGTCTTCCTCCCACAATCAACATTGAAGAGAAGTTTGCTATTCCCATATCAATTGTCATTAGAACATGGCAAATTCCTGCTCTGGTACCAATTGACGTAGCACGAAGAAAAGAGATTACAAGCGTAAAACCTTGAAGAACCAAAGTTTTTGGAATTCACTAGTTTGATAAAAATCCCAAAGGATCTTTGATTGTTGATTGAAAAGATGAGTTACAATAATAACATCAACGACTTAAATAAGCCATTTACAACTTCGTTGGACAACTCAAAAGCTTAGGGAATTAAAACGAAAATTAAATTACATTAATCATATAGAAATCAAAAGGTCCGAATTTTGTTATAGAAATTAAAACAACATTTTGAAAGTCTAAACGACTATCGATGACCTTAAATACGACATATGACACGCCCAATTATAATTCTCAAATATTTCTTACTGCCTATTCCATCGCCATACACATTAAGCGCCGGTTGAATATCTGGGACAAATAGAAAATCAGATTAAATGCATTGATATCAGAACAGCAACACTACAAAGTAAGAAATGACTCATAAGCAGGTCTTTAACTCAAGGTCCAGATAGCTACCACCAGCTGCACGATTATTGCTTAATGTCGAATCATCTTGCGGCTGCTAGGGACCAATGCAACAAAATGCAGAACACCCAATGCATATTGAAGTAATCGTGTAAATAACGCTCAACAGGTGGAGCCTGCAGAAAGAAAAATCAGGTATAATCAGATACGGAATCAAGTGAAAAGGCAATAGAGTATATTGGAAGTTCATGTTGCAAGGGTGGGGAATATATTATACCTGTCATAACTCCAACATAGTAATAAGTCCATTAGGACCCAAAGCTTATCTACTGCAGGCCAATGAGTTCTCACAAATGCAGGACCCAGCTTTCGGTCCTTCTGTAGCTGCAGGAATACTGCATCCACAGCTTCATCACCGATGTCAAGCGGCTTGAAAGCAGACCTTACACTTGGAAGATTCTGAGCTGCACTTGGAGTGTTCTTATTTGGATCCACAAGCATAATAAGATGTGCTCTGAAGTACTGCCGCAAGGCAACACATGTGCGGAAAGCTTTTTGTTTCTCTGATGAAGTAAGTACTTCTGCAGGTGACCTGCCATTCCGAAGTGATTCTGAACTAGGGAGTCCTAGTGCCCCAGAATTTACTCTAGACCTTACGGATGCAGCATCATTTAAAAGCCCCAGTAACTTCTGTAAGCCATCCTGAGAATCAAAAGCATCAAGAACTACCCCGAAAACAAATGCAGCACAGCAAAAAATAGGGCTGCAATTTTCCTGGCTTGATCCAGTGTGCACTCAAGAAGTTGAAGAGCTAATTCAACTACCTGGTAGATCACATCTGAAGGAAGAGCAGAAACACGCTCCATCATTCCGTAAAAAACATTAATCGGCCATAAAAAAACTTAACAGAGTAGATGAATATAGTCACCCAAGTAAATGAGAAATTAGACCTCTTAACAGCTAAGCTTCACCCGATATGTCATTCCCTGGAGAGAGCCGATAGTAAATAGGCAAGAACAAATACCAAAGAAGGTTTGAGCAACCCCTATCCACAAACAAGGCAGAAAATTTACAATGAGCAGCCAAAGCACAGAAAAGCATCGCAACCTTTGACGCCTCATATACAGACGTTGGTTCTTTTAAGACTCGGTATTGTATCGATTAAGATGTCAATAACAAAACGCATTGACATGTTCTGGACACCTTGTCGGTACAATATCGATCATGCACAGAGAATTTCTAAGCAGTTCTGCAAATATCAAAGGATATGGACTTAGAGCAACAGATAATTCATAATTGTTGAACCTCGTTTATTACAATCGACGTTGCTACACTAAGGGGAAGGGAAGGATTTGAACCAGGACTTAAGCAACTAATTAACATTTAATCATTCAGTACTTAAGCAACTAATTAACGTTTAATCATCCAGTAATCATAGTTCCAGCCCCTTCATCAGTCAAAATCTCAAGCAACAGAGAATGGGGCACTCTCCCATCAACAATGCTAGCAGTCTTCACACCCTGCGCCAGCGACCTCACGCAGCAACTCACCTTCGGAATCATTCCGCCGCCGATCTTCCCCTCCGCCACCATCTTCTTCACTCCATTGATATCAATCTCCTTTACCAAACTCGACACGTCGTTTCGATCCTCCAGAATCCCCGCCACGTCGGTCAGCAGGATCAGCTTCTCCGCCCCCACCGCCGCCGCCAGCTCCCCCGCCACCGTGTCCGCATTGATGTTATACTGCTGCCCGGTCTCGTCCGCCGCCACGGACGCAATCACCGGGATGTACCCTGCCTCGACGTTGGACCGCAACACGGCGGGGTCCACCCTCGCAACTTCCCCTACAAATCCCAATTTGGCGGCGTTCGGAACGGGCCGGGCCGTGACAAGCCGCCCGTCCATCCCGCAGAGTCCGATTGCCTTGGCGCCGGCCCGGTCGATTAAGGAGACCAGATTTTTGTTGACTTTCCCTACAAGGACCATCGATACGACCTCCATTGTTTTGGCGTCGGTGACTCGGAGGCCGTCGACGAAGGTCGCCTCGATGCCGAGGCGCCGGAGCAAGAGGTTGATCTCGGGGCCGCCGCCGTGGACGAGGATAGGCCTGAGGCCGACGCAGGAGAGGAGGACGAGGTCGTTGACGACGGAGGCCTGGAGGGACTCGGATTTCATGGCGGCGCCGCCATACTTGACGACGATGGTCTTGCCTCGGAATTTCTGGATGAAGGGGAGAGACTCGGCGAGGATGTCGACTCGAAGTTGCCCCGGAGTGGGATCAGGAGACGACGGGGATTGGGAGAGAGAGTTGCGGATCGAGAGAGAAAATGGGGGTTTGCGGCGGAGGGAGAGGTTGTTTGGGAGCTTGAGTGATGGCGATGGGTTTATTAGGGTTTTAGCTGCCAACATTTTTCCTTTTCAGTGAGGCAGTGGAAGCGCGATAGTGAAAGTGAGACTGAAGTGAAAACCGAACTCACGTGAGAACCGATTTTATTCGAGTTTAGTTGCTTTGAGATTCTAATTCAGTTAGTTGACTCGAGAGCATTTGTAATTCTCTCGTTTTAAGTTCAAATATTATAAATGACGAGTTTAATGTTAAATTTACTTTTCAGTATTTGCTAAAGTTGGAGAGAGAAAATGTGAATTTTTTTATTTTTATTTATTTTAGAGTTAATGTACAAAAAATTACTCAACTTTTATTTATGATTCCAAATTAGTGTCAACTTATTAAAACATTTCAAATAACTAGTTAGTGTTTTGAAAATTAGACATTTGGTAGGGACTTTACCTACATTAATGATGACATTACTTTTTTTTTGTAGTACATCGATATTTTTACACTAGAAAAAATAGGAGTTCAGTTAAGCCACATAATGAGCAACCTAATTTGGTATCGAATACGTCATCCACGAAATTCGAACCTAAGACCTCTCACTTCCAAGTGAAGAGGAATACCACCAAACCGTAGTACTGAATGGCTAATGATGATGACATTACTAGCATTGAATGATGAGATGGATAAATACTAAAGTTGGTTTTCACTAATCGCCCTTTTTGGAGTTATAATCTCCTAAATTGACCCATTTTAGCCAACTTAAATCTCAACCATACAACGTCGGTTTGGAGATTCAAATCTCAATAGATGACTTAAGAGCTAAAGCACACTTTATATTTGCCCACGTCATCAGTGAGCGTTAATGAACCTAATATATGTCCATTATTCAAAATTTCGTAATTATTTGAAATGTTTTAAAAAATTAGGATCAATTTAAAATCACCCCTAAGATTGGATGGCTATCCATACCCTAAGATTGGATGGCTATCCATACTTAACCCTTTATTTTATATTTTATAATTAGGAACATTCTTTAACGAAGAAGTGGGCAATATGCTACATTCCGAAAGGGATTATTCTAGAAGCCATGGCTTTTTCAAGGAATCTTACATCAAAATTTGATTAAAAAATAAAATGTTCATATCAAAATTCAAGCCCTCATCGAGCCAAACATGTTTGTCATCTTGACTATCTCCATAAAACACCGCACAAGACAGATCAAGATGTGAAAGGAAGCAACTCTTGCTGGAAAAACTCCGAATTCCGGTCAAACTCATCGGAACATTTTAGATTATTGTTTTGGGAGCTTTAACGAAAAGCACCCGGTACTGTTTATTTTAACGAAAAACCACATTTTTACACTAAAAAGTCAATCCTGGTACTATTCACTTTACCCTTTATTTTGTCCTTATCATTAAAACTCAAAGTTTTCAAGCCCTTTTCATTAGTTTTCCTTATTGTTTTTAATTCGTTTTGTGTAATATATGTTGATGCTTCAAGGTGATAGCGTCAAATTGAGATTGTGGCTGTAAAGTCTCAGGGAGAGTGTCGTAGTTCTGATTTAGTTGGGAACTTGTTTGTGTAAAACCTATTGGAATTCTAGAATATCCTCTAAATAGTGTTATGTTTAAGTTGTATTACTTAAAAGAAGATTCTTCTTTCCATACTATTATAAATTGACTCGTTTGAAATTGCTTTTAAAGTAATTAAAAGCATTTTTGGTAAAATTGACTTTGGGTTCTAAAAACACTTTAAGTGCTTTGTGGAAGAAGCAACAAATATATGTTTCTTGTAAGAAGCACTTAAAGTGCTTTTACAGGATTCATTTGAATTTTTATTAAGGATTTGTTTTAAAAACATTTTCTCTAAAAACCCTTTCAGTCATTTTAAAAGCACTTCTAAATAAGCTCAATATTAGACACAATGGATGAGGTAATATACACTAAATAATTTACGAAATCTCTCGCTGCTCCTTGCCGCACCTCTCTATCCCTCTCTAGAATTCTTCACTTAAATCGACTTATATTAGATAAAAAAAGTTTGTGGCGCTTGCCACTTAGTACTACACTAGTGACATTCTTATTTACTTGTAAATAAGAGATTTTAGATTTGATTATCGTCAAAGACAAATTTGAACCACATTATTGCTAGTTCATTATGGAGCCAACCCACCCCCGGTGTTAATTACACTAACATCCATGAAGTTTTTTGTGTTTTCACAAAAACCCCTCACATTTGATAAATATCACTAATACCCATGATGGGAGCTTTTTCTTCTGGGATATGAGGCGGCCTACCGCCTGTTTTGATTCCTGAAGAAAATAGGCTCCCTCTTTCCCAGCTAGTCTTCTCGCGAGAAAGCTCATTTCTTTTTGGTTTCCTAGAAAAAAGGTTGTTTTTCTAGAGAAAGGCAATAGTAGGGCAGTAGAAGCACACAAACCTTCGAACCCAAGACCAAGACACATCCTCAAACCCAAGACCAAGAGGTGTGATGCAGGAGCACTTCACCATCAAGGTAGGAATAGGGTTAGTGGGAACGTGGGTGGGTGAGGGGCGGGATAAGGATGGGAATGGGTGGGCGTGCGAGGAGGATGGGGGCAGGGAAGAGAATGGAAGGAGAAGGAGGGAGGGGGTCGGGAGAGGTGAAAGCCTAGAATTTTTTTTTAATTTTTTTTTTAATATTTACGTGAGCCCATATTAACACGTGGCGTTCAATTATTGTCCACATAGACGTCACGTCATTAGTTAACGACTGAGTTAATAGTTTGATTAACGGATGTATGAAACAGTTCCAAAATTAACACTTTAAATATGACTCTGGGATGAAAAAAACTTTATATACTAAATGTTGAAAACTACGAAACTTGAGGATAGTAAATTTGATATTTACCCAAAAATAAAAGTTTGGGGCGCTTAAAGAAAAAAAAGGGAAATTTCGGGCCACCTTTCATCGGGGTCCAATGCGGCCGCCATTTGTTTGTGCCTCGGTTTCTTAGCAGTCTGGTTTCTGACCCGTTCCTACACACGAGAACTGTTTACAAACCTGAATCGTCCAGATATCATCCAACGGCCCAAAACAGACCACCCTTCCCATTTTAAAACCCACACCTCGGACGGACAGGTTCATTGCCACTCCACACCTCTGTAATTTCTTGCATACTTTTCTGATCTTTGAAATTTCCACTCCTATTCCGATTCCAATGTCGACACCGGAATCCCAAAACCCCTCCGCCTCCGACCTAACAACCGATGACGCCTCCTCTGTAAGCAAAAGCGCTGCAAAAAAAGCCGCCAAAAAAGCCGCGAAAGAAGCCAAGAAAGAAACCCCGGCCGCGGCGGCCCCCTCTCTCGCCGTCGACGAGCAGGACCCGCTCGCCTCAAACTACGGCGAAGTACCGCTGGTCGAGCTCCAATCGAAGACGGCTGAGGACGTCAGCCACTGGACCGAGGTTGGACACTTGACCAACGCGTTGGAGAACCAGTCCGTGCTGATACGTGGCCGGGCGCAGACGATTCGCGCCGTCGGGAATAAGATGTCGTTTGTTGTCGTCAGAGAGAGGGGGTTTACGGTGCAGTGCGTGGTGACGGTGCAGCCTGACACCGTGAGCCGCCAGATGGTGAAGTACGTCGCCGGGTTGAGCAGAGAGTCGATTATCGATGTTGAAGGCGTCGTGTCTGTTCCTAGTGTCGAGATTAAAGGCACCACGCAGCAGGTTTTGAATTTAATTAAAACTTCAATTAGCTGAGTGATTACGTAGTGATTATAATCAAAATGTTGGGTTTAAGCAGGTGGAAGTTCAAGTAAGGAAATTGTATTGTGTGAGTAGGGCTGCTGTTTTACCAATTAACATTGAGGATGCTGCTAGGAGTGATGTCGAAATCGAAAAGGCTTTGCAGGTAGTAAGATTACAAGTTTTACTTTGAATTGGGTTGTTGAAGCTTTGTGAAGCATTTTGGGACTTTCTTTCTCTTAGTATGTGTATATTCATGGGGTGGTATGATGGGTTTTTAGGCCGGAGAAACACTTGTTCGGGTTAATCAGGATACCCGCTTGAATAACCGAGTTCTTGACTTGCGAACACCGGCGAATCAGGGTATATTCCGCATTCAGAGTCAAGTTGGAAATGTGAGTAGTCTTTGTACCATTTGCAGTTGTTTCTCTTTGAAAAGTTGGAGGATTTTGAAGTAAGATATTACTGCTATGTGTAATTGGTTGCGTTGTTCTGTAGATCTTCAGGCAGTTCTTGATATCTGAAGGCTTTTTTGAAATCCACTCGCCAAAGCTGATTGCTGGTTCAAGTGAAGGTGGTGCTGCTGTTTTTAAACTCAATTACAAGGGTCAAGAGGCCTGCCTTGCCCAGTCACCTCAGCTTCACAAGCAGATGGCTATATGTGGTGACTTTGGCCGTATTTTCGAGATTGGTCCTGTTTTTAGAGCTGAGGACTCCTTTACCCATAGGCATTTGTGTGAGTTCACTGGTCTTGATGTTGAAATGGAGATCAAGAGGCACTATTCTGAGGTAGAATTATAATTTTTAGGCATTTGTTTACCGTTATCCCCCATATGATGGTGGATGTTAATTCACGGAGCAATTATATGCTTGTTTGTTCAGGTGATGGACGTTGTTGGTCCATTGTTTGTTGCAATGTTTGACTCCTTGAACAAGAACTGTGCAAAAGAGCTTGAAGCTGTGGCGAGGCAGTATCCATTCCAACCGCTAAAGGTCGCACTTCTGATTTATTTTTTGCTGTCTTTAGTATTTGGACTGTGATATGTTGAGTGTTGAATGGTCAATGAAGCATTGCCTAAGCAATGGATTTATTATCTATATGTTCTGAGTTATAGAAAAAAAAAATGTTGCCAACGATTTCAGTTTCATGTCCACACAGTTTTTGGATTCTGATTTTGTCATTTCTCAAATTTTCAGTACTTGCCAGAGACGCTACGTTTAACATTTGAAGAAGGTGTTCAGATGCTCAAGGTATTTCCACCCGTTCTTTTTTCGCTACTGAGTTGAGTAACAAATAGTAAATGCATGGTTGTAGACTTTGGCAGAGTTATTTCTCGAATCACATGGTTTAGAGCCATTATTAGTGCTAAAAGTCTGGAAGCTGAAACATGCATGGCCTGCTTTCAATTGAAGATTTCTTCCATATATTCTAAGTTTGATGTTTTTTTATAGGAAGCTGGGGTTGAAGTGGATCCTTTTGGGGACTTAAACACTGAGACTGAGAGAAAATTGGGCCAACTAGTTCTGGAGAAGTAATTTATCTTGCTTGTTCTACCCAATTTTTAGTTTGTTCCCATTCTGTTTAAGTTCTGTTGTAATCATAAATGTTTGAACTGATTTTTACCTAATGATAGGTATGGCACCGAGTTCTACATACTGCACCGCTACCCTTTGGCTGTTAGGCCATTCTACACAATGCCTTGCCACGACAATCCCGCTTACAGTAATTCGTTTGACGTTTTTATTCGAGGTAAACCATCATTGTTTCTATCAGTAGTACTGTTGCATTTATATCCTAAATCATTTTGCTAATTTGATTTTGGTTCCAAGCTCACAACTTCAGTGCTCGATAGATATGTTAGACATCATCTAGCTGTTAAATAGTTAATTTTTTATGCATATGGGTCAGCATAGTTAGAAATGTTACAAGTATACCAAGTGTCTTTTTATTCGTAGGTATGTTAGACGACATTTCCTGATGATATATTGGATAGAAAATATATTATTCTCTTTATACTTTGGAACTCCAGTATACAGTGAACGGTTTTGGAGTGATATGAATCTAAATATATATTCTCCGTCCTTTAGGCGAGGAGATTATTTCTGGAGGACAGCGTGTACACGTTCCAGAGTTATTGACTGAGCGTGCACAGGCACTGGGAATTGACGTGAAGACGATATCAACATATATGGATTCTTTCAGGTATCCTTTCCTTCTGCACCCTGTGTTATTGTTATTATTTATTCAAAATGTTGTAAGTTAGAAGCTCTTCACAAATCGGCTTCTGAGTTTTGACCTAACCATGCGATACTAGCTGACTTCCCTCGATTACACTGCTTAATGAACCTTATGATGCTTCTTGCAGATACGGTGCACCTCCACATGGTGGATTCGGAGTAGGGCTGGAGCGTGTTGTCATGCTTTTTTGCGGTTTGAATAACATCCGCAAAACTTCTCTTTTCCCTCGCGATCCACTTAGGCTCGCCCCTTAGAGGTGCCACTTTTCATTAACATTATCGGAGAATTTTGTTTTTATCAGTTTTACGAAGCCATCTGTTCTTACAACTGATGGCATAGACATACACATACATGCCATGGTCAAAATCTCTATTTTTGTTGTCTGCTCGAGTCGTTTTAGTAATGTTCGTAAGATTCAGAGTTGAACGAATAGATTATTTGATATACCTTCTAGTTTCCATATGAAAAGTAACACCATCTTCAGAATCGTTCGTCTCTGCTACGATGCGAGAAATTTTTTGCTTTACGATATTTGAACTCAGAACCTATTCCAAACTAAGGCGAAATGGTAGAAACCAACTCCGCTGGACTTCAAGGATAGATGGCCTTTCAAGAAATGTGGAAGACACCATGCGCATCCCTCATCACAAATTTAAACCAGAGGAAGCCTTGGTACTGAATTTACCTTCTCTGTTCTCTCGATCTCTTTATCTTCATCGACACTCCTCTCCCCACTCTCTCTCTCTCTCTCTCTCTCTCTCTCTCTCTCTCTCTCTCTCTGTAAGCCTTTCTATGGAGTTCCTATGGAGTCCTTACACGTGGGGATTTATGTGGGTACTCTGGCGAATCTCTATTACAAAGACAGCTGGAAGCCCCATAGTCCTTATATAGGGACATACGGTGGTAAGTTGCCACTCTTTAGTCTAGTTAAGTTGCCCAATGCTTTGAGAAAATGGGTGCGCATAATGATTTGCAGGGTCTCAAATGTTAACTAACTTGCATTGCAAGCAAACTATTTTTTCAAATGCAAATGCTAACGATCAAGAGGAACTGAACAAAACTTGTGGATTAAACCAGTGAAGAAGAAAGCAGAAAAAGAAAAATCACAAGAAAAAGAAAGTACTTAAAGGGTATCTGATGCATTTCTAAATAAAAACAATGGTTCCTTATCCATTTACCACACAAAACCACTAACCGTGTACCCTTTAAGTTTAATCTTTTCCGTTCCTACATTTTCTTTTTCATCTCCTCATTTACTGAAGAAAATTTAAGCGACCAAAAGGGAAGCCAAACCCATGATCACCACTCCGGCGCCAAAAGCCATCTCAGCACGTGAAGCAGCAGACGGTGAAGGTGCAGAGCTTGATGATCCGGTTGGTCCATCACTAGATGGTGAGGATGAAGGTGTAGCATCACCAGACACCGGTGGGGATGAAACCTCATCTGATGGCGAGGGTGCCTTTGATGACTTGGGTGATTGGCTTGGGGCACTGTCATCAGAGGGACTGGGAGCATCAGAGGATGATTTGCTTGATGGAGAAGAAGCTGGTGATGCGGAGGACTTTGGCGAGCCGGCAGGCCTAGAGGCAGCAGAAATGTCGGGAATTTCAATCGCATTTGAGATTTGAAGAACTGAAATGTTGTAGGGCTGGGAGACAACGGCTTTCACGAGCTTGGCGTTGAGCTTGCCGCCCTTGACAGCTGACCCGAAAGCAATTTCTCCATCGCTCTTACCGACAATGATGAACCCTTGCTGGTCCTTGGCCTGGCCAGAGGACTGGAGCATTGTGGTTAGGGTTGATTCCTTGCTGGAACCGGCCAAACTGGTCAGTTTCTTCTGGTCGAAGTAATCCAAAACAACGTGTGCGCTGAGGATTTTCTTGATCACATCTTGGGATTTTCCGGAGATGCTTGACATGCCCCCATTGTCCACTGCCAACACTGTGATGGTGCTGCGCTTGTTGATCTCGTCGCCGAGCTTGGTCTCCTTGAGGTAGTTGGTGAAGCTGCTCAGTTCCGACTGCTTCTCGAGAAGCTTGACGATGTCAAAGGCCGAGGCCGAAGAGAAGACAAGGAAGAGGGCAAGGCAGAGGATAACAGAGGCTTTGGTGTTCTCCATCTTTATTTTTTTATCTTGCTTTGCCTTATTTCTTGCTTTGAAAGCAGTGCTTTATTTATCTTCCAAAGCTTTGGTTTCTCAAGTGGGGATTTGGGGGAGTTATATACAGATTGATTTGCTATAATTACACACAGAATTTGGATGTTGGTGGATCCTAAAGGCTGGGAGCGAATTTCTCTTCACCACTCAAGAAAAAACTACAATATCATCAATAAACAATTACGTGGAAAGAAGAAAGAAAAAGTACCAAACGATCACGTGGAAATCACGTGCATAACTAACGTCATTCATTTAATCTTAAAAAAGAACTAGTTAACATTTTTCAAAAACGAAGAAGAGAGAAATAGAAACAAAAATAAATAATAGAAAAAAAAAAGAACATGCACAAGGGTCACGTGCGAATCACGTGCAGATGAGATGATATTAGTTTGAGATAAAAAAGAACGAGTCAACTTTTCAAAAATACACGTATTTGTTTCTAAAGACGCTTCAGTTGATATGGAAGGGTCGTAAATGCAGCACATGTAGCGTTTAGCTTACAATACATTCAAAAATAAACATGTAATTTAAGAAAGTGTTTTAAGTTGTTATTTGGGGTTTGAGAGTTGAGGCAACAGAGAGGACACAATAGAGCCTCCAAATTTGGATTTTCAGTTGTTCATGGTTGTCTTCTCCAACCACAATCCCTCTAGCATACATATCTTGCCTACAAAAAAAAAAAAAAAAAAAAACCCTCAGAAGGTTCGTTACCGCCATCAAACAGCCTTCATAAATTTCAAATCGAAAACCATGACAACTCACGGAGCCTCTCCCCTCCTCCTCCCCGTCTTCGCTCTATCCCTCGTGTTCTTCAGCTCCGCTATCTCTGAAGCCTTGGACCTCCCAGCAGGTCTCCCTGAAGGGTTGAAAGAATTCGGCGCGCTCAAAGACGAAGTTCTTAAATCCAACATCATTAATCAAATCGATGGATCAGCAGGGAAAGCGGCAAATGCACCAAAGAGTGGTGATGCTCCGGCCCCCGGTGGTCAAGGCAAGTTGGACAAAATGATTAAGGAATTGGGGGTGCCAGCGCCCGTGGCAGATGCAGCGAAGAATGGAGATGCTTCGGCACTAAACAACATATTCAAGTCTGCTCCAGGGCCTGGTGGTGTTGCTGCTGGGGCCGCTGATGCCTTGACGAAAATGTTCAAGCGCGGTCCAGCCCCTGATGCTGCTGGGCATAAGCCAGCACCCCCACCTCGTGAGGGTTCTGGTTCAACTCAGCTGGCTTCAAGCTTCCTCTGCGTTGGGATGCTTGGGTTCATCTCATTCTTCGTGGCTTTGTAAAGAACACAATTAGTACTATAACACAAAGAGAAACGGAGAAAAAGGAAGTATGGGGATCGCTATCAATCATTAACGGAAGCAGGAGGGAGACAGAATGCTTTGCCATGATTTGTTGAAAATTTTATTACTTCTAAAACGATAATACTTTATTTACCTGTTAACAATTTTGTTGAGATGATGAATGGATCTGAAGCTTTTTTCAATAATGCACAATGAATGGAGCATAAAATCACAAAAGACTGGAAATCAGAAATCGATAAATTGTGATGTCAACGAAGTTCTACTCACTTTCATTCACGCATTAACAAAATGAACACGATATCATCAGTAACCTACATTCTCTTATATGCAAAGGCTAATCATACGAGCCTTTTCAACATATATCCAGATCGTTGGCCTCACCGGGTGCAACTTTACAGTTGTCAGACAAAAATATGAGCACGATCAAATGTAGATCAGTAGTAATCATCCTACCGTTAAAACGCCAAATAAACTTGGTTTACCCAAAAAGACAGTTACTCCAACTATCAAAAGCTCCTCTAGAATGCGATGCATCACATTGTTCACTTGATTTTTTCAACTATATCGTTAATGACTTCCTCCATGTTCAGCGCCTTCATTTTTGAAAATGGTCGTTTCATGTCCTGCAAAATAAAACACATAAATGACAACTCGGAAAAATTGATTACTTTTCAACAAGCCCATAACATTATCAAGAAGATCACCCTCTCTTCACCAAAATAAATTACTTAGAACATCATCGAAGTTCATACAGAATATTGATATTTCCTTTTGTGAAAAAATAAGCATCCTGTTAAGATTCATCATGAATATGGATTTAAACTATCTCCTAGCAATTATCATCAATCACTTTTAGCCTTTTCAAACTGAAACTTACCTTTCTGGAAAAACAGTGAGCTATTTCGTTCTCCTATCCAATGACTTTCAGAATGGAAAAGGCTTATTGACTAAAAACATGCAAATTAAATCTTGCAAGAATAGAAGAATTTTGGTGTATGAATTACCAGAAGACTGAGGAATGTCTCGCCGCCTTCCTCCCGTATCTCTAAGCATCCTTTTCTTGGCTATTCACAAAAAAGAAGGAAATAGTTAGATCATTACTTATACCCATAATGCCTAAATCTGTAATCATTTGAAAAACGGCTTGGATAAGAAACAGATTAGTCTTAAACAGGTGCTTACTATTTTCCTAACAGTAAAGGTTTTGCACGATTCTAATCTCACATTGTGAAGATTGGATAATAGCGTGAGTTATAGGATACAATGGTCGACAGACAGCTTAAGACCTAATACTTACTTTCAATATCCTGTAGGAGGACATCAAGTCTACAAAAAGTCAAAAATAAATAAGCATCAAACAATGTTTATCCCCTGATTCTTTATGGTTCAATTGATTCCTTGCATCCACTCAATTTGAATTCATAAAACTAATGTTTATGGTCTTTCTACTAATTCAGCGTTATTGTAATATATCCAAATCCTTTCTTTTAAATCATTCCATCCACATAAGCTCGAATCCATGGAAAACATTAATATCCTTCATTAAGTATACCTTATCAGGGTTTAGTAGAACTTTGATGCCAGGAACACCTTTCTCCAAACCATTTTTGACCTGATCAGCTCTTACCTTGAATGACTTGCATTGCTTGCTAGAGAAAAGAACCAAATCAGTCAATAAGGATAATAAAAGAACTGCAAGTACACAAAGATCTTGCTATTGCAGGGGGAATGGGGAAGGAAAAACGTACACAATAAAAACCAAGGACTAAACGCTTAAGAAACAATCATCATAATCTTACAAAAAAAAGAAGAAAAGTTGGCGGACTGCACAAGACTTTAACTAATGTGGGATTTGGGGAGAGCAAGACATACACAATAATAACACTGTTTTCTAAACGAGGCTGTTTTTGCAATCAAAACCCACAACTACCAAGTCGCTTGGGCCACTCCATAACCATCAACACAGATTATCCTATTGCATAAATGATAAATCCAACAAATAGTTTTCATTTTCCAAATGGGAGCAAAGGTTCCGTAAACTTTTATCCAGCAACGAAACTACTCTAACAATATAAAATGAAACAGCTGGATTGTGATACCACGACAATCCAACTCATAACTACTTTCGCTTATTTCAGAATTGACAGAATCAAAAGCTCTCCCAAAGAATCTACAGACTCCTGCAACGATCGTACTGCTAACTGTGCGCAGTTTAATGACCAGGAGACCTTAATTTCATCCCCAGTTCATGCATCCTAGATACTAAGTTAAATAAACATGTCCCTCGAATAGCTATTAAAACAGACAGTCAAAAGGCTTGCACACAGAGTAAATTAACAATTTTTCCACTAGACCCACCACCCCATCTACAAATCCTCCTTAGCTTTTAGCTAAATTAATCCAATCCTTGTTCCTTTATGAAAATTAGAAGTCTGTAGTACTCCCAACAAATTTCCTAGAGATTCCAAACCCTAGAACGAAGGAGAGGGGGGGGGGGTTGGGAAATCCAATCGAGGTTACCCTAGTATGAATGCGTCAAAATTCTCAAAGCCAAAATCATAATCTGAAGAAAGTAAATAATAAATAGTAGAAAAAGAAGCACAATATACGAAATAACATTTTCGTGCGTATCCTAAAATTTTCTCGGCAACCAAACAGGACCAAAAAAAGATTGAGGGATAAAATTGCCTAACCAATGCTCAATCACAATGGTCCTCTTGTCCGACTCGTCGTCGTCAGCCTCCGTACCTTCTCCGTCGTCCTCCACTTTCGCTTTCCCTTTCTCCTCCTTGTTCTCCACCTCGGCCTCCACTTTCTCCTTCCCTTTCTTCTTCTTGTTCTCGTTCTCCGCGTCGGCCTCCGCCTTGCTCTCGCCGGAGTTGTCCTCCTCTTCCTTCACAGCTTCCGCTTCCGCTTCTTCCACCTCCACCTCTTCCTTCTTCGCCGGCTCTTTCTTCTTCTGAGCTCCCTTGGCCTTCTTCCTCGCCGGCGCCACGGCTCGTGGCTCAGCCGAGCTCCCACTCGGAGCCGGCCGAGCCATACTCCGAGTCACTCGCTGACCCGAGTCCTGAGCCACCAGCTGCTTTTCTTCTTGCTCAGTAGTCTTGCGTTTCCTCGGCGCCATTCCCACAAAACCCAGAAACCCTAGCACGCTAACGGAGCTCCGAGAGAGAGAGAGAGATGAGAGTTTTAGGCTCTCTCACTAGCAACGAAGTGAGAAAACTGACTGAGTGACTCCCTCTGGCTCCGGGTGGTGCCGTTTTGTACTTCCTGGCTCGCAGATATTTTTCCATTTTCCCGCGCTTTTACTGTTAGTGGATTTGAATAGACGGTGGGGATTGGTTTAGGGGTGCTGGATGAGTGTGGGCCGTCGATTGAAGAGCGAGTACGGAGTCGCAATGGGTGACTTCGAGATGGGAAATGACAAGGCCTTCGGCGGTCCAACCAAGTCCACACAATTTCTCCCCCTTTACGGACACGCTCATCAAGAAATTACTGTTTTATCTTATAATTTAAAGAATTATTATTAGCATTTTAAAAATCTTATTTAGCACTCCAAATTTTCCACAATTAAAAAGAAAAATGTATTTGTGAGAAGTGTAGGGTAAGATTTTTAGAATACTATTAACAATTCTCAAAATTTATTGCATTTTAATCATTTTATCCAAACACGTCATTTATAAGACATCTTTCAAAAAGTTATTATGATCCTTTGACATTTGGTCCTTGGCAGTGGTTTGAAGTTTGTCTTTTTCAATAAGTAGGTGATCATCGATCATTAATGTAAACTGAACCAACAATGCATATAACGATCGATTGAAGGACTACTACATTTAAAAGTGATAGAATTCTATTATGATTCGTTTATTAATTTGTAATTTTTTTTAACAAGAAATAATAGCAATTTTCTATTAATAATGATAACAATAACAATTACAAAGATTGTCAGATGGGTACAATCTCCAATGACCAAATATTTGATTTGGAGGTAATTCGCACAAAACAAATAGTGATGATAATCCTTTAATTGGCTATCACAAAAGCACACACTAGCATAAACAACCTAGTACAAATTTGCCACAAAGAAGGCAGAAGCAACAAACTTATCCCAGAGCACACGTAATGTCACCACCACACAAGCGGGGCCACATTAAACGATAGCTAAGAAACGATGTCACATTAAAACCACCGCACACACACAGTGACATGCCCCGGCCCTGATATTCCTCGAATACCAGGATAGACACGTGCTGGCCGACACCCGAGGGTGACGAAAGCCATTAATTGATACAAAATCTAAGAATAAGAAGTAAATAAGGGTTATGAATTTAAATACAATGAGTTAATAATTTGGGAACGTGTTCAGAACAAACAACTAACTAGAGCTCTAAAAGAATTAATATGAAATTGAATAAATAAGAGGATGTAGGTCCTACACCGAGAGGACTCGAATATGCCAATGCGAAAGCGTTGACGTCGGGATCGTATGCCTCGATTCTAAATCCTGAAAGGGGGCGCAAAATAAGGGTGAGTGGATCAAGTTTATATACATACATAATAATAAAATAGTTATCAAGATACTAACTCCCACAGTTTAAATACAGAAAACTACTAACATAATAAGTTATAGTTTTACTGAAAACCCTAGCATGCCAAAAACATCTTAAAAGACATATCGTAGAAAAACATCGTGGAAATCAAAACATCAATCGTCTCACAGATCGTCTCGTAAGCGCGGTGTGCTACCAGTAAGATCACTGAATAAATATAACTCCTGGCCCTATGTCAGCACCGTGGTCTCTGCGCCCGTAGCCAGAGATTACCAACTCCCGGCTCATGCCTGCTCCATGTCCCTCAGCCCGTAGCTAGGGATTATTTCTCCCGGCATATCTGCTAACACCAGATCATCACCCCAGACGGCATATTATCCACTAGGTACGCATAAATAGTTAGGCTTCTCATAAATAATCACTTCATAGTATAAAGTCATCCATCATCTATACTATAAAGAGGGGTTTATAAAACATGTTCTAGCATCCTATCGTCATCCATCAAATAGTCTACCAGTTCATGGTTTTTATAGAAAATACGATATATTAAAAATATAGCTCTATAGGCTAATAATTAATTCCTCACAAAAAATGAGACTATAAACAACATATTCCATAAACATGCTTAACATAAAATCAGTTTATAAACTCGTAAGGCATGCTATTCATTTATGCAAATAAACTATAAAATTAAGCAAATTTTAGAAGGGGTCCACTCACAATACTTTGCCGTCGAAAAGCCGTGCTGCTAGTAAAGACAGAAACACCACTATAATTGCCCCTAATCACATAAAGGTTACATTTAGTCAAACTCTACTCAAACGATTGAATTTGGGAAAACAAACTTCAAAAACGGGTCCAGGACGTCGAAATTAGCCTAGAAAAGGTCCCTAACGAAATCCCAAAAAGTCAACCCTAAAAATCAACGTTGACCGTTGACCGATCAAAGTCAAAGCTGACCGTTGACCGAGTCAACAGTCAGAGTCAACTGGGTTTGGGCTTAGGGTTGGACCAGGTTTAGGGCTTAGGTCTTTAGGTTTGGTCTTAAGGCCCAAAGGTTTAGGATTTTTAGGTAAACAGGCCAAAGGCCCTGATCTCACATGGCCTAAAGGCCTGTCTTTTTTCCTGGGTTGGATTCAAATTACACGGGCTCAAAGGCCCAACTTCCTTACAGCCCGAAGACCTGCTTCAAAAGGTTTCACAATTAGGCTGGGCTTTTAAGCCTGGCCCAATTGTATTTGGGTTTTAAGGAAATAAAACAATAAATTTTAAAAAGGGTTTTGGGTTGGGTTTTCAAACGGTTTGGGCTTGGGTGAAGGCCCAAGGCCCTAGGTTCTTCTACACGGCCTAAAAAGTTTGATCTCGCCGGGAATGAACACCGGAGCTTCTACACCTCCGACCGACTAAAAACGAAGGTCCTAGACTCCGATCTAGGTACTAAAGGAAAACACAAGGTGAAATGAGAAGTTTACTACCTTTGGTTCGCCGTAGAACGGTTGAAGGTGACTGGAAATCCCCTCGACAGCCACGGGCTCGCCTGAGATGGGTTTGGCATACCCGCGCCGATTTCCTTTAAAAACCTTGTAAAAACGACGATTTAAAGCTTAATATATCTCAACCACGCAACAACCAAGACGAATTTGAGGTAATCCGAAGCTTACCTAACCAGAAAATCAAGGGAACTCGCCGGAAAGTTCTTGGGTTCCACAGTCCCAGTTGCGCCGAGAGAGAAAGGGAGAGGAAGAAGAGGTTGATGGTGATGATGCCTTCCTCGCAGGTGATGCAGCTGTGAATGTGTGTGTTCATGGGAAAGAGAAGGAGAGAGATGAGAGGGTTTCGAGAGAGAGAGAGAGAGATAGAAGTGCAGAGAAACAAAGAGAGAAGGAAAGAGGGGTCATAGGGTGAGGGACCGAAAGAGAGAAAAATGAGGTTAGTTAGGGTGCTGCCACGTGGCAGTTTGGGGTAAAACAACATGTAATACGAATAATTAGGGGATGGTTGTAACACGCAGGGCTACATCACTCATAAGCCGAGACATTACCCACTAAATGCGGTTCAAACAAGCTACACTGATTTACACTAATTCGAGAAGCGAAATCCTCCAATTGGCTTGTCTCTAATGATTAGCCCATCTAAACTTTCAACATTACCACTTCGCAAGTGAGATCCACCACAACCATGAGCCTAGCAAGGCAAGGCACCACATATCTAGTCAGGGAAGGTGGTGCCACCAGGGATCAGTCAGAGGAGCCACAAAACCCTGAAGAAAAATAAAAGCCAAAAAGGAGGATCTGACCCACAAACAACCAATAACCCAACCAAATAGATGAAATTGAATTGAGGAGAATTGAATTCCATAATGGTACTAATTGAATATAAGTTGTTTACTAATTCACTTGAATTAGACTATGAAAGTTTGTACAATTACCAATGGGCATTGGTGAGGGAAGGAGACATATCAATGCTGGGGGCGGGTAACTGGCCCTTAACGAAAACAAACAAGGTACAACAATAGAAGCTAGGAAAGAACACTAGCCAAACCTCCAAAACAGAGAGGACCTAACTATTACAAACAAACAAAAACTGGGGCAATCTCAAGCCAATAAGGCTCCTCGTTTTGCAAGGATCGGGAGATGAATGTCTATTTTACGTTACATTACTTTTATTTTGCAAAAAGGTTGTTTCTACGACTCGAATTCATGACCTAACTTCAAATAATAAGTAGGTGATTATCCATCATTAATGTAAACTAATCCAACAACGCATATGACGATTGATTGAACAACACAACATAAAAGCGATGGAATTCCATTTATGGTTCGTTTTTTAATTTGTAATTAAAATAGGTGGCATTGGATTGAGGAGACGTTGAATTGAGGAGAACTAAATTTTAGAATGGTACTGATTGAATGTAAGCTGTTTACTAAATTACTTGAATCAAAATAAAAGTCAGTACAATTACTAGAATGTCTAAAACAAAGAGGACCTAACTGTTACAACAACCAAAAAAGGGGGTTGAACCTAATTCAATAAGGCTCCTTGCTTTGTGAGGGTTGGCGAAGGAACATTTATTGTACGTAGCCTTCCTTTTGCTTTGTAAATAGGTTGTTTCCACGACTCGAATCTGTGAACTAAAATAATTAATCTTAACTGGACATGTCACCATCTATTCAAAACTAAATCCAAAATTTCATTAATTTCTTTACAGAAAGTAAAAAAAAAAACCTGAAATTGAATGCAGTCTCATTCAAATTTCAGTAATTTAAAATACACAAATAACAAAAAAAAAAAACAGGCAAAACAATATACAGGAACAGCCAGCAGCCTCTCAACCCACCAATCAAACCCATATAAGACATATATACCAGGACCTGGAGCTGATGAGGAAGCAATTGGATGGCCAAAAAACCAAAAAGGATTTAGACTTTTGTGTAATTGGAGAAAAGCTGAACCAGTTTCCCCAGTGTTTCTGGATAGAACTTTCGGGCAAATAGATAACACGGTCGCTTCATCCCGTTCCACAAGCACGGAGTGTTCAGAATTCGCTTCTGCAGCAAGTAATCGCCAACCAGTCAACAATAGTACAAGGGTCGTCAAATTTATTCGCCAAATGACGTGGCAGGTGATATGATATGATATCATGTTAGAAACAAACGTGCTCGTTCATACCGCTGACACATTATTTGGGATACAAA